CCATGGAGGGGAGTGCTATCCCTACAAGGGGAGCGCAAGCATGGAGAATAATCGAAAACAAAATATTATTTATAAATTTATTGCAAGTAAACAAACAAAATACATTCTGGCATAATAAAATACACATTTACACTAATATCCTTATAAATGTATCAGTACTGCACAGTGTATTTTACAATCAATTTAACAATACTAAGCAGGTTTAATAATTACCAGTGCACCCAAGGGCTTGTCGTATGAAAAACTATTTACAAAAATTAACATTTATCTTGATCATTTGAAGGGTTTATAATGAATCCCTTAAATGCCGATTAAAATGTGCGTCATTCGCTCCCCAATGCCAACCTTTTAACACGTATGGGGTGTGTTTGGTGGGAGAGGTAGAAAAGGAATAAAGTAGCATATCCTCTGAAACAAGTAAATATTAGCAAACACTGTCAAGATCCTTTTATTGCATTCCATAGCCTTCGGAATAATTCACAGAAAAGATCGTACTTCGGAAAGACGTATATATACATCCGAGATAATTAATGCATTGGTTGAGCGAGACGTTTAACGCCGGTTGCAAAAAATACACTGGTGTGCAAAACTCAAGCAACAATGTAAAAATTAAGCAGAGATAACCATGAAATTGCAGAAAAGGAGGTCTGGAGATCAGTACCGTGAACACGTAAGTCAGTAGAAACGTCATGCGTATGCAAATATCAGGAACGAAACGACAGAAGCGACGTGAGCGTACGCAAAATGCGTGATGTCGGCGCGTGCTGTTCAACAGTAAAATAAAATGAAGGACGGAGACGCAATTCAACATATTCGTTGCAAGTGCCAGTGAGTCAGTTCGTGAAATATGGCTAGAAGAAATGATCTGGACGACTTCACACGTGGAAGAATGATCGGAAAGCTGGAGGAGGATCGTACCGTCACCAGTGTAGCTGCAGAGTTTGGAATCAACAAAAGTGTCGTTTCGCGCGCTTGGAAAGCGTTCCAAACCACAGGTACAGCTGTTAGAAAGGTTGGTGGTGGCCGCCCGAGGACGACAACTGCAGGGGATGACCGATATATCATCCTGCAGGCGAAAAGAGGCCGACGGCAGTCAGCAAGCGTCATTGCTCAACAACTCTCTACAGCAACGGGGCGACAAGTGTCGTGGTTTACTGTGGCCAGCCGCCTTCACAAAGGGAGCCTATTCGTCCGCCGTCCTGAATGCTGCCTCCCGTTGAAAGTTGACCACCGACGCCACCGTTTACAGTGGTGCAGAGAGCACAAAAACTAGACAACTGTCAATGGAGTCGTGTCCTCTTTACGGATGAGAGTCGGTTCAGTACCAGAAGCGATTCTCAACGCGTTTTGATTTGGAGAGAGATCGGGACACGGTTTTATACCAGTAACATCATGGAAATACACCATTACGGTGGTCCTGGAGTTCTTGTCTGGAGAGGCATTATGCTGAACGGGTGAACTGAGCTCCACATTTTTGATAGAGGGTCTGTAACCGGGGATCGCTATTGTGAGGAGGTACTTCTTCCCCATGTGCGTCTGTTCCGAGGTGCCATTGGCCCAGACTTCATTTTTATGGATGACAATGCACGGCCACATCGGACTCTTGCTGTTGAGGAGCGGCTGGAAAGGGAAGATATCACTCGAATGGATTGGCCAGTGTACTCCCCAGATTTAAATCCCATCGAACATGTCTGTGATGCTTTGGAGGAGACGTATTGCAGCACGCTTACATCATCCGGAGAACACCCAACAACTCAAACAGATGCTCATTGAAGAATGGGCACTCCTACCGCAAGAAATGTTGCACCAGCTGGTTCTGAGTATGCAGAGACGGTGCGAAGCAGCCATTGCAGTGAGGGGAGGGCATATACCATATTAAGGAACATCTGCTTGTTCTTCCTGTTGGATAGACCATCATGAGTCACGATACCATGCGTTCAATAAAGCTTGTTTTTGTTTGATTCCATACCGAATGCATTGTATTCATTTTTCAGCGCCGATGCTTTCGTATTCCTTTACGTACATAATACTCTCCCTCATTTCTGAATTTCATGTCTCTCAGATGATTTTTCATGAAGTTATTTCAATAAACCCCCCTGTTGGTTAAGTTTTGCCCACCAGTGTAAATTCGCAAAAAATTCAAAATGTAGGTTTAGCGTCAGAGTATAGTATTATTGGATTCAATACATTGTTATAGTATATATTGCGGGAAAGAAAGGCGCGATGAAAATAATGATTGAATATTGGGTCGCAAATATTGAAAGTTTGAGAAGCACTGCATTAGAGTTATGTTAACTATGAATGTAACATCAATGTGGTTTGATTTTAATTCGCATCCCATTCTCAAGCAGTACGAGGACTTATTGATGATGGATTTCTTAATTTTGAACCTCGTTCCAGTGATGAAGACGACGCCTGAGCTGGATCTAGGTTCTTCAAACCTCTTTCACCACACCAACGGGTGAGCTTTGAGCTTCGACAGATTTAACGTGTGTCAGCTCTTCTATGCAGAGGGTCTTCAGTGACACTAGGATTCGAACCCGCGATTCAGCAACGTGGGTCACGAGTTCGCACCCATGATCACTCGGCTACCACTGCCACCCCATCAATCCGGAGAAGTAATAAGAAGAATAATTTTTTTCTCCTGGATAATTTTATAAAAGGAATTTGCTTATACAATAAGACCCCGCTTAACGCTGTTTCATTTAGCACTTTCGGTTTAACGCTCTTTTTTTTAATTGTGGGATTCCCCAAAATTGCACACAGTGTTAGGCTCCTCGATATTCGAAGCAGTTTATCTGTGTTTCACCTTTCCTGTGGTGTTATTCGAACGTATTTTTATCATTTTAAATATTTGTTGACGTTATTGTAAGTATAAATTTAGATAATGTAACAATTTCTATAGTGACAAATATTAGGATTTTTAGTTTTTATCATGGGTGATAATAAAAACCACGAAAATAAATCTACAAGAAAAAGCATTTCTCATTAGAAACTAAAATGCAAGTGATTATAAGATTGGGAAGCGTCCATCTCATATTGGTGCTTCATTGAATTTGGCAATTTCAACACACACAAAAAGGACCATTCTTAAGAATAAAGAAAAAATACTGCTATCGGCAACTGCATCTACGACAAGCTCTGCAACTAAAATTACCCGTTCTAGAAATAATACAATATATGAAATGGATAAACGATTTTATATACAGATTGACGACGAAATTGAACGCAATATGCCCTTAAGTCAATCTACCTTCTTGATAAAAAGACAGAAATTTGGAATTACAGAAGAGACTGAATTATCTGAAATGTAAACATACTGATTTTGAGTGATTTTATATATATATATATATATATATATATATATATATATATATATATATATATATATATATATATATATATATATATTATTATATATATATATATATATATTCGTTTATTATGTTTCTATATATTTGCAAGAAATATATTTTTTTTTATTGTTATAAAAACATAATTAAAAAATTTAATGGTAAAATAACTGACCAATTTTCTACTCATCTTTCCCTAACCCATTATTTACATGATGAGACGCTGTTTCATATTAAGCTCTGCTTTGATGGAACGCATACTCCCCCCGTTAAGCGGGTCTTATTGTACATTTTTCCAAGTACGAAATTAGATAAGAAAAATTTTGTGTAGTACCATCAACTACTTCTCAATAGGATTCTCAGAATCTAATTATTTTCACGTTATAAATAACGCATATCGAAAATATATCAAAACTTGAGCGTACAAATTCCGAATTAGCTGGTGTTTCCGGTTGATTCTTTAACCCACTTGATTATACCCTGGGTCCGAATAAATTATACAAATCATGCATATTCATGAAAAATAAGTCATTTTGAAAATGGGGTCTATGACATTCTCTGATCGATTATTGCATACGAGGGAACACGCCCTATTTCAAAGTACACCATAGTGAACAATGCAGTTTTTTTACTCTTATGAAGAGAATTATATCATATAGTATCGTAAGTTTTAATTACAAATTTTTAAATTTAACTTAAGTCCCGTTCTTTTGTTTCCTGAAATTTTGAAAGCTGCATTTCAATTCTTCATAAAAACACCGACAGTTAAGATAGTAAAAATTTATGGACAATCAAAGTCGACAAAAGTCTAAAAAATAAGGGAATTGTTTAATCTGACTGCAGATATTGAAAGATATATGAAATATATATATATTGAAGCTTTTGTGTACCCCAAAACCTATTACATTAGTTTATGAGATTTCAAATAAATTAGTTTTTTTTACATTATGAAATCAAGAACAAAGGCATGAGAACAGCGTTTTAAAATAGAAAATCAGTTTTTGTCCGTAATACCTTAAGTGTGTGATAGTATCAACAAAGATCACTCTACATTTTAGCTTCAAGAGGTACATTTCTTAAGAGGTGTTCTTTTTTTCATAATTCAATTCCTACTTTTAGTTCACTCTTTCCCTATATATAGTCTTATTCTATACAAACAAGAGGTAACATTCAACAATCACATTCGAGAAACATTTAGACAGTAGGAAAATCTCATAATGAAAGACATGAGCAACCGAGATTAAAAATTATAAAATGGATGCTGCAGTATTATAAACATTGCTGACTTAGGATAGCTAATATATGAAATAATTTATATAAAAGTGGGGTTGAACATGTTTTTTGGCCAGACTATCTTCCCCCTTTATGTAAATAATACTGAGCAAAAACCTATTGAAAGTAATGGATAGGAATATAAGTATCTATCTATCTATCTATCTATCTATCTATCTATATATATATATATATATATATATATATATAGAGAGAGAGAGAGAGAGAGAGAGAGAGAAAACTTCAATGTTTAAACAGTTTTTTTTAAACTTGATGTTAATAGTTTTTTCAAATATTAATTCATTAATTAAATTAAAAAATGAATTAATAGTAACTAATAAAAATACTAGTCCAACGGCATATATAGAAAGGAAAATCGTTCACTATATCCCTCTAGCACGTTGGACTTCTAATCCAAAGGTCGTGGGTTCGAATCCCACCTGGGATAGTCTAATTTCTCAGAATGTGATTTCTTTTACCATACTATCTTATTGGAATAATTAAATTTAATTGATGAATAAAAATAATAGTCCAACACTATACACAGAAAGGGAAAAAAGGAGGATTGCAAGGAAAATCGCTTCCTATTTTGTTACCCAATATTGTGATTCTATCATATATGTGCATACATATTTATATTAATTATAAGTATTTAATAAAAAGTAACTAAAATAAATTTTTCATTGTTGACTTAAGGCATCCGACTACTTGCGAAAACTTTTTTTTGTAAAAATGGAGATATGGGGATTTTTTTGTGATTTTTAGATTTATTTAGTATATTTTAAGGAAAACAAATTATTAAAATGGGAAAAAATTGATAAAAATGTACAAAAAATTACATAGACGAGGCCCGCTTTGTACAAAAATTTTAAAAACAAATTCTCAATTTTTCAATTTTGATGTGTTACTTTGTTATTCATGTTTGAAATGACCTTCAGGTAAGAGATATTTTAATTTTTACAAAAACTAGAGCACTTTATCTTAGTGATTACATGAAATTGCTTAAAAAAACAGTGATTATATTCACATAAAGGACTGTAAATTTTGAAATGAAACAGTGATTGATAAATATGAAGGTCAAAACACTTCTACAGTTATACAGAACATACAAAAAAAATTCAACAAATTATTTAAAAAACTTTTTTGAGCAATCGCTGTCCCCGTTTGAGCTTTTCCAAAAAAACACATTTCGAGTAAAACTCATTTTAAAGTTTGACATCTTGTGTTAAGTTATGGCAACTGCTTTTAGAAAAACACTTGAAGTTTTTGTTTTAGTGAATGGCAAATAAAAAACTTGGTATTTTTATTAAGCTAATAAGATGGCCTATAAAATAAAATCATAAAAAGAAATTTATCAACTTTTGAAAAAAATCAAGATTTTAGGTAGTAGGATGGATACCTTAAGTAGGAATTCACTTAATTTTTTTTATATTACTTCTTTATTAAACATGTTATCATACCACTACGATTAATTGATATAAAATTCTTTAATATCACTGGGTTATTAGTACTTTTCGTATTTTTAATATGCAATTGCAAATTTTCAACATACCTTTTTATGAAAAATCGACATATTTTTCACTCTATCTCTTGTTTTTGACCTCTTTTCCACTATAGTAAATCGTTAAGAAATTAAATATAAATCCAGTAAAATCCATCCACGCTGCATCAAAACATACTGAATCTTTAGAATCTCGAAAGCAACACATTATTTCATCGACTGGGTACGAATGTTTCACCAATCGATACTGTAATTGAACATCTAAAACATTTAATTCGACTTTAGCGTGTTAAGAGGTGTTTTTATGAAACAAAACTTGGAAAAAGTATTGAAAATTCATTGCCAGTTGAAAATGAGTCCGAAATGGACCATTCTACAAGATTCTCCTCCCCCATTGTTTTAAACTGGATGTGCCGACAAGCAGGCTCGATCCTTGCGCATTTAAGGGCCTTAGGTCACGCTAGAGTAGTCCATTGCAGGAAATTTCCAGTCAGTCCATTAGGGGACCACGTGCGTTGCAGAGCCACAGTGAAAATAAACTGCCGGGGTTTTACCCCATTTTGAATCAACAATGCTGCTGACGCTAGCAGCTGATCGATATACTCCAAACATAACAGCCGGCGACTAATAAGCGGGCAAATGCGTTTTAGCCAGAGATAACGTGCTCTGTAAAAACCCCGTGAGGCGCCATACCTCTGACTAAGGTCGGCTGACTTCTGCAAGTTTCAGGTGGACACGAGTTGTGTGGTTATCGAGATGCATTGTTGTGCGCTTTTCTCTTCCTCGTGAGATTTTACAGCATTGTGTTGTGTCTTGAAAGTTGTGAAAAAGAGAAATTTTATGATGCAAACATTGATAACTAGTGGAATGCTTTTAAAGCAGATTACATCAAATGTGTTGTGGTGAAGTGATGCGATTCGTGATTTGTTTTGAAGTGACCGTTTTACGTTGTTGGATTACCAAACAAGGAGGTGTGTTTTCTGTGATGAGTATTTGGATGAATAAATGAAAAATACTCAAACGCTTGAATTTGAGTTCAGCTTTTTTCATCTGTGCGACAGTGATTTAGTGTTATTAAGCTATTTCTGTTAAATAAAGAGGAAATCAACACTGGATTATATGAAGGAGTATAATATATATTTGTGTTGATATTAGTAAAAATTATATTTGTTGTTATGTTATACTAAGTTTGGAGATTGATGCTCTTTTTTTCTTACCTACATTTTAAAGTTGGAGTACAAAGGGGAATTTTACTTACTGTTGTGAAAATTACTGTGTACTGGAAATTTTTTCTTTTTTTATACTATCAACGAAATAACACAAGTAATAGGGAGATTTGTGTGTGTGCTTCCCTTTTTAAAAAATCGAAATTCTTTTAATGAAATTTGTTTCTTATATATTTAGATGGAAATTAAGTGTGTTCAATTTACTTATTTTTAATTATATAATGTGGGAATTATATATATTACTGTGTTAACATCACTATTTATCCATATTTAATGCTTAATCTTTTTTCCCTTAGAGTAGCTTAGTTTTACCTTTTTGGATGCCAATTACAATATACATGCATTTAAATTATTTATTTATTTTTTTAAATTAATATTTTATTACGTATACGTGAAGAGTAGTTTGTTTTCAATGAATTTCAGAATAAATGTATTTTTTTCAAATGTCAACGCGTTAATGAATCTAAGTTGTTTGAAATAATAGTTTATTGACAGTTAAAACTATTAATTTTTTTAAATAAATTTTAAATATTTTGAATTACATAATACTGAAAATATCGAGGAGATATATAATGACTTAAGTGAATTTCAAAAATAAATTCACAAAACAAAAACTCTCCTTTGATTCGATTAATATTAATTCTACCAAAATTGCTTAGCTCGAGCTAAAGCTTTTCTCAACACGTCACTGATTTAACAACAAAAATATAAATAAATACATTTTAAGATACAGTAAACCTTTCTATTTTTCAATATTTGACCATTTTCTGCACTGTTTTACCCAATTTGGTAAAAAAATCCGTTAGATGACTCTTAAGTAAATAACAGAATAACCCACTCACCGAAATAAAGAAAACACGTTCCTTCCCACCATATATCTTATTCCGTTCTTATTTTATTTATTGAAGATTCCCTAAGCCAGCATTCATGGAAACCATTCGTATCTTTGATTGATGCTCCTCGATAAAAATTGGATAAGGTCCGCTAAACCAGACATTTCCACTCAGCACCATTGCTTAAGACGTGGTCCTTTTCTTCTGCTCTGTCGTGTCCATTATGAGATTATTTGTGAGGTGTTCTTATTCGATACGAGACAGGATAGAATTTCGATAAGATAGGTAGTGGCTAGCAATCTATACATGCGCAATCCATTCACCGTTATTAGTTTCGGAACTGATCCATTTGTCTTTTGCGTGGGATAAATTGTGGACAGTGGTCATTTGAGTCCGACATTGTAGCATTGGAGAAGGAAGTTGTTCGTGATGGAACGAAATTCTGAACTGTGGATTATTTGATTTGTTGCATGTGTCAAAAATCGCTTAAAATTAGTTATTATTAAACTTTGTTATTATTCAGGCCTAGAATAGTAAGATGTTAGAGATTATTGAGAAATCGTTAAATTTGGAAACGATTCAACTTGCTATGACCAGTAGCCAATACCACTTGTGTTGTGGTAAATATTAAATTATAGAAAATTTAGATTGATTTGATATATATATATATATATATATATTTGGTGGAAATTAATAACAAATATCATTTTAACTCTTTTTTTTTGTAAGTTCAAATTTGTTGTTTTTCATTGTAAATATCTATAACAGAAAAATTGGGATATAAATCTTCTAAAGAAAAGTATAAACCAAATGAAAAAAAATCACAAATAATTAAGTTATTATGGTTCGTTTTAAGATTTACTTCAATACCAGGAAAAACTAATAAATAATTATAGATGATAGCTTAATGTTTTTCTATAAATCAATGGGAAGCGTTTAGTATAGAAATTGTTCTTGAGTGCATTTCTAAATTTTTTTTAATATGTCTTAAAAAGGGAATATTTTTAATTGAAGTAAAACAAAAATTGCTAAATATTTGTGATTTATACTTACGAAATTATAGAACAAAGACCACAGAGGACCACTAAGAGATTTTCATTATAAAAACCTAGATGATTCTAAAAGTGTTAAAAATAATATTTGTATATTTATTTTACGATCTTCTATATTACGTCGTTTATTCACATGAAGAAATCATGAATGTTCAGCCAACAATAGTGTGATGTAGATCGATGAAACACTAAATACAGTTAAAAACGTTTCTGTAAAACGAAATGATTTTCGAGACTCGGCAAACGCTATTACCTTCAGGAAATGTGTTGCATGATAACAGAATAACCTCAGAAGTGATCTCAAATCTTTCTTCAAAGTTCAGAGAAAAAATTCTGATTGCTGCGCAAGATACCTCATTTGGTTCTGAATTAAATATTAAAAAACTCGTTGTAAAAAATCATCAGCGTTTTTTCGATTTGCATTGTCGTAACAACTGTGCGTCTCGACAACGGTTTGAGGATGATTTTTGTAAAAATTTGTTGCCTCGTCACTTTAACGACGTCTTGAATTATTCACTGTTTCGATTCGAAAAAATGGCTAGTGGAAGAAATCAGCCTGCCAAGGCGTCTGGAGGTGATGGAAGGCTACATTCCGCCGCGAAGAATTCGCATTTGTATCAGAATTCTTTGCCCATTGCAAAAAAGGTAAGTTTTGCTTTTTTATGATTCTTTATATGTTTTTTGTTTTGCATCTTTGTTAATAAATTACTTTGTAGAAGGTGTTTATTTGAAATTAAGGAATTATAACAATTTTAATGCATGTTAAAATGAATGTAATAGCATAAAGCGTTTATGATTTTTCTCCCGAAGCTTTTTTAATATTTTCTGTAGAAAAA